GGATCCAATGTGATGATTTGATATACAATGTGGAATGCTTAAATCGAACTGATTAATGCAGCCATCACCTCACTTACTTATTTTTTGTGGTATGACATTTATAATTTATAATTTACTCTAAGATGTTTTGAAATGGACCCTTGAATAACAATGCTTATCTCTCCCACTTCACAGAGTTGAGGTGACTCTTAAGTGGCAGAGGTAAAAACACTTTTAAAACAGTAAAATGCCACATTAGCATCTGTGATTAAATGCCAAGGGTTAATTTTTTTTCAGATGATAGCCATCCATTTCTTTTCCTTTTAGAGTTTGCAAACTTGGCCTCCAAGTGGGACAATACAAAGAAGGGACTCTGAGTCAGATGGGATGAATACAGACCCAGCCCAGCTTGAAGTCATCCTGAACTGCTCAGGGGTACCCCGCCCACTGCCCCACCTGAGCCCGGAGGAAGGCGGGACCTGTTCCTGTCAGCACCCTGTTGGCATGGAGACAGAGGAGAGGAGATGTTGTTCCCTCCATCCAGCAGTATCCCTAGGAGGTGAGTGACCAGAGTCAGTGTGGCTGCTCCTCAGCTCTGTGGTGGAACTGTGTCTGGTGAGGTGGCCGTGCAGAGCACATGTCTGGGGCTGTCTTTACACAGCAGCTGAGCCACTGTGTGATTTGAGAGGCGGGGGGGAATCTGCCTGAACTACCACAGAGCCTGAAACAGACCTTCAGAGACATGGATGCTGTTTGCAGAGGCATCAGGGAGGGGTGGCACCTCCCTGCGAATGAGCAGATGTGGGACAGTCAAAGACAGATCTGGAGCACAGAGTGCCGGTTGGACCACAGCAGAGGGTGTGTGTGTAAGCCCAGTGTATCTCAGCCTGCACACGTGGCACTCTGTGCAGGAAGCAGCCCATGTACCCAGCACCCTGCACACACGGCGCTCTGGGAAGGAGGCATCTGGTGCAGGAGGCACCCTGTACAGGAGGCACCCCATGCAGGAGGCACCCCATGTACCTAGAACCCTGCATACATGGCACTCTGGGAAGGAGGCATCGCATGCAAGAGGCATGCAGGAGGCACCCAGCACCCTGCACACAAAGCACCCCATGCATGCAGCACCCTGCATGCATGGCACCCCACACACCCTCACTCTGTGCCAGAGGCACTCCATGCACACATGGTCCCCTGAGAAGGAGGCATCTGGTGCAGGAGGCACCATTTGCAGGCAGCCCCCTACACAGGAGGTACCCCATGCAGGAGGCACCCCATGCAGGAGGCACCCCGTGCAGGAGACAGCTTGTATAGGAGGCACCCTGCACACACAGAACCCCATGCAGGAGGCACCCTGTACAGGATGCAGGGTGGCCCTGCATGCAGGCCCCATGCAGGATGCACCCCCTGCATACAGTCCCCTGTGTACTCAGCACCCTGTGTGCTCAGCCCCCTGCACACAGGGCATCCTGTTCATGCACTCAAGGTGCAGGATGCAATTGGTGGTTGGGCGGAAACCAGCTCCACACTGTCAGACAGCAAGCACCCCTCCTTACTGTGTCTGGGACTTGCTGTAATTGTCATCCTGTCTACACAACCCGGAGGCCAACACTGCTGATTTTGCCACGTTCCTCTGGTGTCCTGGTAGTGACTTTCCATTTGCTTCCATGCTGTGCAGTTCAGGGAGCTCAGCAGCCATCCCCTCTCCGAAGCTTTCCTGGCCTCAGCCTCCAGCCCACCCTTTCTCTTTACACTTCCTTAACAAACCCAGTGGGCCTACCACATCTGTAGGAACACAGGGCCAGGAGGCATCTGCCTGGTCTTCTAGGATGTCACACCTTTTTCAAGCCAACAAACTAATTCTGACAATAAGATGCTCTCTTCTGTAACCCAAGCAGAGCCCACCGGGCCCTCCCACATTAGCACCCTCACTAAACAGCGCCCTTGTTACCGGGTCTTGTTCAATGCCCCGCCATCTGTGGCCTAGATGACCTCATTGTCTGAAAGCTCCTGACCATACATTTTTCATTAAAAATATTGACGTTATACTCATCGCTTCACGACTTGTCATACTTTCCTTTTGTATTTTCAAACTTGCCCTGCGTTGAGCATTTTGTTTGTTTCCCAGGATTAGCTCCATCGTCCGCATATTCCTCCCTGGATAATCACAACAAGCAAAGGCCTTTATCCACCTGCCATAAGTGAGCCAAGTAATTCCAGGATGTTATGACTCTCTATTCAGTGAGAGCTGCCAACAGTTACGGAGCTGAAACTCCTGGAGAAGGAGCAGGCTTTGCCCCTAGCAGCTCTCTCACCGAGACACACACTGGGAAAGAAAAAGAATGCACTCTACATCAGCAGGGAAGAAACGCTACAGCAGATGCTTCCAGAGGAAATCGAACAGATTACAGCTACAGAATGTTGGGACCTTCAGATAAAGCCTCCAGGCCAGGAGGAAGGATTCTGCTAATTAGACTTTATAATTTAATAGGTGAGCAGCACAAAACCCCAAAGGGACTGACTGCAGATTTAACTAAAGATAATATTCCATAACCTTGTCCTTGATTTTAAAAACACTGGCCCTGAGAAATGCTTAAAAAAAACGTGTGTGCCTTGTTAGATGCGTTTCTTGTCCTTTGAATCTTAGATATTACATTTTCCCACCTGTAATTTGGCCCACTGAGATGGCTATGGGCTTTAGGATTTTTGCTCAGCTGCCACCCCCACCCCTGCCCAAATATGACCCCAAAAGGAAAATGAAGAGATTTCAATATAAAAAAGTAGAAAGTATAATACACTAAGTTGTGTGCGGGCGGTGGGAAGGGAGGTTATTTGTTTTTTTGTTTTTTGGTTAAAGGTCTTTCAAACTCCTAATCACGGAATTCGGGAGCTCAAGAATTCAAGAGAACAGACTCTTGTCCTTGGGGCAGGTGTTCCAGTCCTGCGTCTGGAGACACCTCCTAATCGTGGCCTCACAGAATCACGTGTGTGTGCCATCAGCTTCCCCCAGAAGCACGCTTATGGTTTAGCAAATCAGATGAATGACAAGAATGGCCCCAGGAGGAAGGGAGGAGAAAACACAGGGCCTTCGGACAGTGGTCATGAATTGTTCAATTGAAAATGAGCAAGCAAAGTTTTCTAAGTAGCCGCACACAGGATCTTCCTAATTACGAATGGTACTAAGGTGCTGTATGTGTGTATATGTGAGTGCACGTTCATAGACACAGGAATTCCAATCCTGCATTGTTCCCATCTTACAGATAAAGAAAACAAGGGAATCACGTAGAGAGTAAAAGCAGAGCTGGAGCTGGATCTGGATTCTGAGTCCAAACCTCCTGCTATTGATTGGCTGATAAAGTGACTGATGTGATTGGCACCACATCTTTGCAGCTACTCGAGCTTCCAAACCGATGAACAGATGACCTTTCTCCTGTATATGTTTACACTGTGCCAAACCTTTTCACATTAATAGCTCATTTGAGCCTTTCCACCCAGGGATTGTCAGAGCAGGTGTTCTTAAGTTTACAGATGAACCGAATGAAGTTCAGACAGGTTCAATCACTTGCCCAGACACCAGACTGGGCTGTGACAGACCCAGGTATTCTTTTTACTCTGTCAACCTCCTATAATCCACTAGAGGCCCATAGAAAAATCACAATTAAGACCAGTGTACCCGAAAAACAACCTGTTTAATCTGGCACCCAGTTAAAGGCCTGCCTCAGTATATATATGTATCACAAATGAGAGTCAAAAGACTCGGTCACCTATGCTTCCCTGTCCTAGATAACTGTCTAACTTGGAACCTAAAGTTCTACCTCTAAGCACTGGCTGTGCTCAGTTTTGCAGAATCAACTTTGTAATCAGATTGCCTGCCTCAAAACTGAAGCGTTGTCGTTTGCCAATGGTGTGACCTCAGAATGCTTAGTCTCCCCAAGTCTCAGTTTCCTCATTTTGGGAAGCTGGGTATAGCAACAGCCTCCTGAGCATTCTGTGGACAATGAACCCAAGTGTGTGGCACCTGGCACAGCACTCAGTAAAAGGCAGCGGTTGGTTGGCACCCTCAAGTGCCAGGGTTTGCTGGTGATGACAGCATCCCTCTCTGAAAGTGGCTTGAGCATGGAGATGGGTTCTTTATAAATCCTGCCCCTGGTCCTGTCCGCTGGACTGGCTAGATACCGTCTAGAGTGTCCACAGTCAAGAGCAAAAGGGAGACTCAGGCTCATACAGGGCCTGTTCCTGCCACAACTGCTTTGGACCATCACAGAAGAAAAAAACAAACCCATCCCTTTTGTCAGTGTGTTACAGAGGGAAACCCATCCCACCTCCAGCTCCTAATTCTTCATCATGCCTTTGAGGATATATTTGCCATCATGCCTGACGATATATATTACCAACCAAATACATCCAAAAGGTCCACACTAATCCGTCCTAATGGAGTTGGGTGGTACGCTGGTCTTGTTTCTTCACATCCTCCACAGCCACCTTCTGTGGATTAGGAGACAAGGTTCCCATGAACAAGTGGTCTGGCTAAACCTTCTCTACGGGGCCCATTGGAATCATTGCAAATGCTCTGCAAAGTCCCCTGGGCCCCAACACATAGTCCAGCTATTGCTGAGCTCCCTCAGCCTGGACACAGCACCCAGGGCACAGAGTGGTGGGCCAGGAGCACACGCTCATTAGGCCTTTGGCAAATCTGTCTTATTTTTTAAGCTTTGTTTCCTGATTGCAAGAGGGATCATATTCTTCTTATTATGGAAAAAACTTGAGTATTGTGGAAAAATAATAGGTAAAGAATGGTCTCCCCAACTCCTAACCCCATGTTGTCACCCCAAGATAATGCTGATGGCAGTCAAGGTAGTCTTTCAGACTTAAAAATGAATATAATTATTTTTAAAATATATTCAAAAGATACATGTATATTTGAAATAGGAGTACATTAAATCACCTCCCATAATTTCCTTTTCTTTTTTAGTAATATACCATGTTGATACCTTACTCTTTCTTCTTTTTTTAAAATTCAGTCTCTGTAGAGACTGCCAAAAATTGCCAATGCCAATTATATTTCAAGTCATCATGGCCGGGGTATTGGGAAAAGTTTTCAATTAGCAATAATCATGCCTCAGATAAACCTCATAGGTTATGATACCGCCACTGCGTAAAGCTGTACACCTTATTCTTTTTAAAGCCGCATTCTTTTTAATGTCCTATTGATGGGCCTGGTTATATCCTACTTTTCTCCTGTATAAATAACACAGTCATAAAGAGCCTTTTACATCTATATTTGCACAAGTATTAGATGCAATTTTTTTCTTTTTTATTGTTTGGGATTCATTGAGGGTACAAAGAATTAAGTTACACTGATTGCATTTGTTAAGTAAAGTCCCTCTTATAATTGTGTCCCGCCCTTAAGAGGTATGTCATACACTGTGACCCCTTATGCCCTTCCCTCTTCCCCTCACCTCACTTCCTCATTCCACTCCCCCCTACCTTGTATGAGCTCATCTACTGCCTTCATATTAGAATTGAATTCTTGCTTCTCCATTCTTGTGATGCTTTACTAAGAAGAATGTGTTCCATCTCCATCCAGGTTAATACAAAAGATATAAAGTCTCCATCTCTTTTAATGGCTGAATACATATACCACAGCTTGTCAATCCATTCCTAGGTTGGTGGGTTAGGTACATTTTTAGAAATAAAACTGCTGGATCAAAGGGCACTCACATTTTGGATTTTGATATTTTCAAGTTGCTCCCAAAATATGCTTCTAGTTTGTAGACCTACCCTACTCTGTCATTGGGCAAAGAACATTTTCCACCTGGCTCCTAATTGTAAATGCAGGCATGGTGTTGCTCACTTAAAGTGTTTTGTAAGCAGCCTAATGACGTCCAAATCACAGCCATAATGGAAGGAGACAGGGACCTCCCTGTGGCACAGAAACCTCATCCTGATGGGACCTGCCAACCTCATCACACCTAGTAACATGAGCCTGTTTCTATGGGATTCTTTTCTTTTAAAATCAGCGGCACTACTGGCCTGAAGACCACAATTTAACACTGGGGGTGGAGGTGAGGCAGGGCTGCAGCAGCCTTATTTTAAAAACCTGAAATGCAGGATAGTAGGCAAACTTTACCCATGTCCTTTCGGAGACCATTACTTCTGACAACTACAGGTAATTTAAAAGCTTTTATGAAGCCTTGGATGGAAAGCCAATGAAAGCAATTCAATGGAAGCATCTGAACAGTTGGTCATAAAACATTCTTTCCTAATCCACAGCAGACATTAACATTTACTTTTCCAATGATGAGAGAGTAACCCCCCAAGGATTTTTCCCTAAAACTTTTGACAAAACAAAAATAATAACCCCTTGGTAATGAAGTGGCTATCAAAGGAAGTTTCCCTAAAACTCTTAACAACACAAAAATAATAACCCCCTTGGTAATGAAGGGGGTATCAATTGGGTTGATGAGTAGTTATGACCTGAAAGCCGGTTTTCCCTGGATAATTACCACTGAGCAGAACACTAAGTATGATATTTTTTGTTGGCAACAAAATGGGAAAACCAGCTTTGAAAGGGTTTCTGCCTTCAGGCTGTGGAGCTCATTAGAAACGCGGCTTTGTCAGGTTCCTTCCATGGTTGAGTAATTCTTAACCTCAGGTGGTGAGGCCAGCCGGTACTTAAGCAAGGGCAGTTTCTGTTTCTGACATCAAATGTGTGACCTATTTTCTCTGTGTGGCGGCACTAAGAAATATTGTCCGTGTTTCTTCGGCATAAAAATCATGAATTAAAGAGGGGCACTTTGGATTAAATGATATAAAACGGGCACAAGAAGCGCAATTAAGGGTTAACTTGTTCCTTAAAGTTGTAAACTATTTTATGTATTTTGGTTCCCAGCCCCAATACGATACAAAGGCTTTGTTTCCTTTCCAGGCTAAAAAACAATAAAAGAATGTACAGAGTTTTGTCACCGGAGGAGGCATCTCTTATCCCTTCTGTCCTCATTATTTCCCAGGGACAAGGTGACAAGGCATGGACTTTCCTTGCCTGCATGGCTGAATCGCACCGCAGTACTCACATGCTGCTTTGGGAGCCTGAGCAAGGCAGTATGTCACGGCAGCGGCCCTTGAAGCAGACATGAAGCTGAGGGTTGGAGACAAGTCCACGGCGGAGACCATGGAGAGCAGGGAGGAAGGACAGACCTGGAACCCAGCTCCCCGCAGGCCAGTGTCTGTCTGTGAGGTGGAGGACGGCCGGGCAGGCTTCCCTGCCAGTCAGGCTGTTACTCGCTCCCGGGGCAGCAGCCCAGGGAGAGGCCACCACCTGTGGGAGGAACACAAGAGATGACACCTGGGGATGAAGGGGAGGCAGGAGATCAGGAGATGTGATTGGCGTGAGGCCTGAGGATGAGGGCAGAGCTTGACACCAGGCGTTCCTGGCACACTGGGTCCTAGAGTCCCACATGGCTGTGGCCTCCCATGGACCTGGACTCTGGGCCCTGGTTCTTCAGCAGTTCTAGGTATGAACATTTTGAGAACCCAGCGACAGCTTGGGCCCTCTCCTCCCCCACATGCTCTTGCCTCTCTGGCATTCTCTCTCTTTTCTTCTGACACTCTGTCTTGGGTTCACAACCTCTCTGCTGCTCCGGTGTAGCTCTGCCTCAATATCAATCTCTCTCCCTCTCTCCCTCTCTCTCTCTCTCTCCCTCTCTCTCCAAGTGCCATTTGACAACAGTGCATCTCCCATGCAGTTTTTTCTGAGATTCTGAGGACCTCCTGGAGCCCACATGAATGTTAGCTTTGGAACTCTTAGCTTTAAGATATAAGCAGGGAGCTCCCAGCTCTACAAGGAGCACAAATATTTGAGACAGAAAACAACATTTAGGGGGGAAAAACTATGCTGTTTTTCTTTTCGATCATTTTGAGAGGTTTTGTACTACTCCCCCATCACCAGTTAGAGGTGCTTCTCTAAGGCTTTGGGGCCTTCTGTGAGGATGACCCAAGTCAACAGTGCCGATGGTACACACTGGCTCCCCATAATGTCATCACAGCCAAAAAGAGCAAGGCGCTGTCCTACGTGCTATAAAAGGACATTTTATAAAAGACAAATAATCTTATTTGTCCCTTATCTATGAGCTATCTGAAAGGAGATCTGAGTCAGTAATGCTGCCTTTTAAAAATCCAATCTGTATCAGAGGAGTAATTTTCTGCTACTAACAATGGACAAACGAAACAATAAATCACTTACCCTCAAGCACTTGTGACCCAGAGGGTGTGTTGGGTGACACTTGATGCTGATCATTTAGTGGCATGATGAAAACCAATCCAATAGCACGAGCTATTTCCTGAGCCCAATTTCTATTTTTGGCTTCAGTAACCACTGGGTGGACCGTGATACTGCAAATAAAATTAACCTCACAAAACTGCCTTGGAGTTTAATTTGGGAACTTCCAAATAGCAAGCGGTGATGTGGCACTGGTATTATTTACACACAGGTTTTTGTTTGTTTGTTTGTTTGTTTGTCTTTGTACAAGACTTTATTAAAGGTCTTTACAGAAAAATATGGAACGTTTCACGAATTTGCGTGTCATCCTTGCGCAGAGGCCCATGCTAATCTTCTCTGTATCGTTCCAATTTTAGTATATGTGCTGCTGAAGCGAGCACTAGACTCAGGTTTGAAGGAGAAAGATTCCAGGCAGGAACCGCCATTTGCCTGTCTCCTCTCCTTCCCTCTAGGGGGTTGTTTTATTAGATATTCTTGGGATAAGAACAATGAAAATCAAGCAGGTAGGAGGGTGGAGGAATTCACTCCTTGCAATCACACTACCCAGGGGGTAGGCACACTCCTAAATTTGACTCATCCTATGAAAAAACAACTCATATAACAAAAACATCTGTACCCTTATACAGCGGTCTCAACCTGTGGGTCGCCACCCCTTTGGGAGTTGAATGACCCTTTCACAGGAGTCGCCTAAGACCATCCTGCATATCAGATATTTACATCATGATTCATAACAGTAGCAAAATTACAGTTATGAAGTAGCAACAACAATAATTTTGTGGTTGGGGGTCACCACAACATGAGGAACTGTATTAAAGGGTCTTGGCATTAGGAAGGTTGAGAACCACTGCCTTATAATATTCTGAAAATAAAAAAAAAGTCTCTCTTCCACCAACCTTTTCTCTTCCGAGCATCATTCATTTCAAGTTGCTAACAAAGAAGAAAAGAGAAAGTGGTTTTGGTGAAAGTAAATTCCTTCCACAGAGTAGCCACTTCTAGGCATGAAATCTCTGTAAAGGAAACTTCTGATCCTATGTGGTTGAAAGTGATTCAAGTTAGGATCTAAACACAAGTCACACCGAAAGAGACCAAGATGACTAATCATTGTCAAAACTTGTGCACGGTCTGAGATTTTACCCTGTGAGCTAACAAATTATCCTGCCAGCTCCATGGGTGCTGGCAGCAGACCTGACTCACCCCGACCAGAGAGAAAGGACAGTTTGTTACAGCAATAGCAGTGGCCAGAACAGCACCATTTTTTGGTGTCCATTTCCTGACTCCCAATTCCCCTACAGGGTTGCATAGATGTCCAGGTGGTACCAATTCCAGAAGAGGGATGCCGAACTTAGGGAACCCAAATCGTTTACAATAGGCAGTGAGATTTTCTCTAGAGGAAGACACTATCTCGAATTCCCAAGGCTGTTTTCTATACTTACACACATTCTTGAAAAGATGATCTGGAACCAAGGCAGCCTGCTCACAAGATATGGAAACATATAAGAGACCATGTAGAATTGTTTTCCATCAACTTTAATACTGAATTATGGCCAAGTCTACAAAGTAACTGTGTTAGAAGAGCATTTTGCTACCTATGCCTGCTAGGACTTCACTGGGCTCAGTGAAGGTACTGGAACAGGCGAGTCCAAACAAGACCACCCAGCCAGTTTCATTCAACATCCCACTGTGGAGAACAAACATAAAGGGAACATGGACCAGAGACGAATCTGGCCTTATTTATTCAGTTGACTCAATAAAAGCACCAGAAAAAGTAGGTTTCCAGGATTTAATTTGTAGCTGTTCTAATATCAGTACCTTATTGAAATGTCTGTCTGGTGTGTTGTGGTGGGAACACCCATGGAGCCAAAGAGTAGAGAACAATCCAATCTTAAAAGAATAGTTCATCCCCAGGCACGATACACCAGTCAACAGGAGAGGACCATTCAGCATTCACGGTGCATTAAGAACGCTTTTTGTAAAAGAGAAGCATTTGCAGCATTTGTTTCTGAGTGGGCGTGGGAGGGAACTCCAGGGAGGCTGGGCAGTTCTTTCTCCCTCACAGGAGTCTGTGAGAAGCCACTCAACTTACAAACACACGGTAATTTATACTCCAAACCCCAAGAGAAATGAGGTTAGTTCTTAGGAATAGCTCTCCAAGATCATTTGGGTTAAAACATTCAAGTAAAGAGCAGCCAGGGGGGACAAATACTAGTATCTTTGGGTCCAATTGGAAAATGGTTTTCATAACTGTTCAGCAACCAAATAATGAGCTTTGTTATTTTAGACGGGTCACAGACAAAGGCTCCTGCCACCCACAGGACCTCCCACCAGGCCTCTTAGACCATGCGGTGCCATTAATTGAATCACAGGAGGAAGTGGACCGGGCAGCAGGGCAGCGTTCCCAAAGGGGCTGGGTTCCAGGGAAGGCTCCCAGGGAGGGGACAGAAGTGGGCTGGGATGGGGATGAGTCCTGCAGCTGTGGGGCCTGCACTCTCTGGCTAATGAGCCATTGTGTTGACACAGCTCAGGTTCCCCAAAGTTGGTTTTCACAGCACACAGACTTTAGGGGGACTTTTGGTGATGAATAAAAATTCGCTGTCTGTGTTTCAGAAATTGGAAACCACCTTCCCCTGAGAAGCTCTGTCTCCCGGCGTTGGTCTCTCAGGAAACGGACGGCTGGACACCCTGCTCTCGCTGCCAGCCCACATCCAGCAACTGTTTTATGTTAGAGCAGTGTCTTTCAACTTTTTTATCTCATGGCCAACTTGCACCTATAATTAAACTTCCATGGCACACTTAAATTATGTTGATCAAAAAAAAAGAGAGAGAGAGTAAAAAAATAAAAGAATATGTGCTTTCAACTCAAGCTCACTGTGCTTTCAACTTCTTTTGAAAATAGTTTAATCAATGATCTTTAAAAATGTGACACACCTAAGATCCTCAACGGTACACTGGTGTGCCACAGTGCGCAGGTTAAAAATTTCTGTGTTAGAGGAAAAGTCAGGAAGGGAGTGGACATGGAGGGCCAGTGACACAGGGCCTAGCTGCCCTGCAGGTGGGGAGCAGGGGGCCCCTCAGCTCGAAGGACTGAGGGAGAGGTTCCCGCAGGCGGCTAAGGACTCCCTCCATCCACCCTTCTCCCACCAGCTCAGGACCTGGCTCACCATAGCTTCAGCTCCTGGGTTTCACTGTGTGTGTGGAGCTGGGAGTAACCCCCTGCAGGAGGCAAGAAAGCCTATTGGTTACAGGTTTTGTAGTCACATAGGGTTGGGTTTGAACCTCAGCTTACTTTGCTACCTGAGCGTGCTGGAACTATCTACATCTGGAGTCCACTGGAACAGGGGAGCCCAAAGAAGCCCACCCAGCTAGTTGCATTTAACATCCCACTATGGAGAATAAACCTGGAGGGAGCATGTACTGGAGACAATCCAGCCTCATTCGTCCAGTTCACTCAGTGAAAGCACCAGAAAAGCAGGTGTCCAGAACTTAATCTGTAACCATTCTAATACCAGCAGCTAGATGGGACTCAGTGAAGATGCTAAACCTCTGAGTTTATTTTCCTATTTCTAAAGGGAGGATAATGCAACCTGCCTCATAAGCTTAAGGTCTAGGTTAAATGAGGTCAAGCAGGTCAGCACTTAGCAGGGTGCTAACTTTTACTGTGGAAGTTGTAAATGGGAGCCAGCCCTTTAGGTTCCCCATGTTCAAATGAGCCCCCATTCTCAGGACTGAGGGAGAACCCGGCCAGAGGCTGTTCAATGAGCACTGAACTGGAAGTTAGAGCCATTCCCCTGGGGAGGAGACTCTTTGTATAAGACGTAGCTGATGTGCTGATGTCGCAGCTGCCATCTGTGTAATAGCTCAAACATGGAGATCTGAGGTCAAACTGGTGCATCCCCTCATCCAATAGCACAAGATGACCCAGGGGCCCAGCGGTGCTTGGTCTAGAGAGCTTGAAGAAACAACCCAGATCTGGTCCTAGAGATGTTGATTTAATTAGGACTGACTGAGGTTCAGGCTTCAGTTGTCTGTAAAACTTCCCAGGTGATCTGAATGCACACTCAGATCTAAGAACCATAGAGTAGCTGGGAAGAAAACATGGAGTTTTCTTGAAGAATCTATTGTCATAGGCGTTCAGTTGGCAAACATGTATTGATCTCTTTGATGTGCCAAGCAGAGGACCAGATGCTTAAGTCCTGATCTCAACCATAAGGATCCTAGAGGGTCAGGGAAGGCACAAGCAAGTGGGCAGAGAGTAACAACACTGCGGGTGTATCCTACAGGGTAGAGGCTGGGGAGTGAACATGCTCAGCTCTCTGGATAGAGGCAGAGAGCAAGCTCCAGGCTGAGGCAATAGACTTTACAAAGCCCGAGAGGAGAAAGTACATAGAATGTTCCAGAAACCCCAGGGAATTCAGTGGGACCAGACATTACTATACTACAAGGCCAAAAGCTGAGGCACGAGAGACAGGGCCTAAGTTCTTCCTAGGGTGTGCCGTGGGGGGTTGGGTTTTAAGCAGGGGACAAAGTGACCAGATCTTTTTGGCTCCTGAGGTTGGGGACAGATCAGAGGAAGACAGGTGTGGACATGGGGGAGCTAATGCCAGGATGGCTGCAGCAATCCAAGGAAGTTGACCACGGGATGCACTTGAGAGGTTTTCGCAGAGCACCAGCTTGGGGAAGTGTTGTGACACAGTCAGGGAGGAGTCCCAAGCTTCTAACTGGAGCCCTTGGGGGGGATTAGGTGAGACCAGGCCCTGAGGCCCGAGCCAGGAAGGAAAGGGTGGTGGAGAGTGTGCACACAGTGGGCTCTGACACCTTTGGAGGAAGAGTTAATTCTTGCTTCATCAGAAGATCATAACGTTAGCTGGTCGATCAAACCTAATAGAAATCCTTCCAATTCTGCACTTTTCTGATTGGTATTGTGCATGGCATTATAATAATAATTAGAGGATTTTGTGAATTTGAAATCTTTTTGAGGATCCCTATCAAATAGGACAAAAGGTTTTAATTATATGAAACCAGAGTGGCCTGGGAACGCTGGAGCAGGAGCTAGGCAGAGAAGAGCACACAGGGCTGGGCTTCTGTTTCTTTCTTGTCCACGAACATGTCCCAGATCTGCCAATTTGAAGACGTTTCAGGAGAGGGCCAGGATTAAATGCCCAAAAGTACCTTGAACATGAAAAGCTAGATGTAGGTGCGTGGTACCCTCGTCATATGCAGAGAACCGGAGAAAGCCAAGCCATCCTGTTAACATGCTTGCAAGGCATCCATGGAAACACACTTGTAAGCAGCTCCATTTATTTGAGTAAATAGCTTGTAAATAAATCATTGGTAAACATTACAAAATTAAATACATTTCCAAAAGCTTGCCAGTATACGTAAAATTCACAAACATAGTTTCTTTAAAAAATAAAATATGTTCAGAGCACCCTTGACATAAAATGCCTGACCCCAGTCCTTGCACAGGGCCGCCTGGAGACACCTCACAGACAGGTTTCTGTGGGAGGCAATAGGGTCTCCCTGGAGGGAAGAAAGCGTTTCTGCTCTTACCTTTGACCCTGCCCACATCCCATCCAAATTTTGATCCTTCTCCAAAGAGTTGGTACGTGACTGAAAGGGGCAGGGCAGGTGCTCAGGCCTAGCTACAAGGACGGGGATCAGTGTGCACAATTAGGGACAGGAGAGCCCAAAATCCTCACCATAGCCATTGAGAGAAGCAGGAAATGCAATCGCCACACCAGCAAATGCTCCTACATCAACTGCCTTAAGCAAAGGTGAGGTTTTCTGGTACCCATACTTCCTCAGTGACCCGTTCACAACACCCAGTCTGATGCACCAGGCACAGAGGGACCCCCTTCCAAGGAGGAAGACACTCGATCTGCTGACTCCCTTGGGGTCTGCTTTCATGGAGAGAGACTAATACACAGTATTTGGTAGAGAGCAGAGAATTCATTGCTACCCGGGGCTTCCTTCTTCCACTGCAAACCACCACTCAGGTACACGTAGGCATTTCTCTAGAAATCAGCTTAGTTCTGCAAATGAAGGGTTCATAAAACTTCAAAAGACCACAAGTGAGGCAATAAGTACATGACCTGGCTAAGCATCCCAACCAATGAAACAATAGAAAGTCCATAAACTAAGCCCTTGACCAACTCAACATTTTGTAGTGTAGCTCATTAAAACAACAGGTACACTGAGCTCTTTCACTTTGGTGTGTAAAGTGAATGTCGACAGACAGCAGCACTCACGGGAAGAATGCCTGGTGGCCTCTCGAAAGCACATGTGCTGGGACCTCCAATTAAAGGATAACCACACCCTTCTTCCATCCTTGTGAAATAAAACTCACATCTACATTTAACTTAGTTGTGTGTAGATATATACAAGTACAAGAAATTTGATGGCTGAGTCAAATAGACAACTTAAGAAAAAAGTATTACAAACTAGTTGTAAGAAAACCATCTTCCTTTAGTACCTTAGTAGCATAGGGTACTAAATATCTGAGTCCTTGCAGAAAGTGCTGCCTGACCCGGCCCATCCTTGGATGTCCACCTCCTTTGATAATCCTTGGATAGACTGAGTCATGATATCTTTGCTATTAAAATATTACAGTGGCAAAAACCTTTCAAAAACAACAAAAAAAAGGAACATTCTTGAATAAATGTCTAATAGATTCCCCCCCACACACCCAAAAAAAAGTTGCTCATAAGAACTATTCTTTAACAAAAGTCTTCATGAAGTCCAGATCCCAGGACCCTGTCTTCATGTCTGGGAGAGTTCCACCCTGTTCTGGAATCATACACTCTTCTTCTGCGGAGGGCTCAGTTTCCTCATGCCCCTTATCCGAGAAAGCAGCTCTTTGATAAATTCCTAAAAGATATTAGACAAAGTTAATATGAGTGGTCACTATTACAACTTGTGTTTAAAAATCTGCTTAAAGGAATTGATATCAACGGCAGTTAACTTCAGTCGATGCATTTGGTTGGATATGTTAACCCCTACTGGTATAATACAGGAAATTTTCAAACCATCAAAGAGTACTGAAACTTCACACTACAATTCCTTCTTATGGCTACTCAGCCAGTGCTATACACACAACCACTTGGGTTCTTGTAGATTCGAAGTATGTCCAGCTTAGGGTCTGAGATTCTGTACTTCCAGCTAGCTCACGGGTGATGCCAGTGTTAGTCCCCAGACCACACCAGGAATAGCAAGGCTAGACCAGTGGTTCTCAAATTTGAGTGTACATCAGAATCACTGGGGGACTGCTTTAGTTTGAATGTGTCCCCCAAGTTTCATGTTTGGAGGTGGGGCCTTTAGGGAGTAATTAGGATTAGATACACAGTATTCTGCATATGCACTTTCAATTTAGTAATTTCTGGAATCTGTTATATAAATGACTATACCAAATGTTTCAGAGTTTTGGTATTTGGGTGCAAATTTCCTTTTTTGTTTGTTTGTTTGTCTGTTTGTTTTTAAGCAAAGGTCAGAATTACAAACCCTGTAATTTATGCTGTTAACGGTGATAATTTTTCTGCACGATCTTAATAACCTATTTTCACAAAGACTAAAGTCACATGAGGCATAATATACCCCAAATTAGACTTTTCCAGACAAAAGTAAGTTGATAATTTAAATCAAATTCAAATTTTCTCAAAAAATTGATCATGATGTGCATACATTTCAGAGATTAAAAAGTTTAAATGACATAATTTGTCCTGTGCTTATGATATATTAACAGTAATAAAAAACTCACTTAAAATTTTACATCAACATAATTTATATGTCTGTATCATAATATACTCTATTGTGCATAATGTGCATATTTTAAACTGCTCATTAAATTTGCATAATGAGGCATTCAGCTAACTTAAAAAAGTAGAAAGACCAGTATTTATTCTCCATATAGAAACTTGGCAACACGACTTGCACACAAGGATTTTATTATTACAGATGATTCTCAAAGAAGATTCAAGGATCTCTAGTCAAAAATACTTTGATGGCTCCTGGCTCCTATGTCTCAAAGCACTCTATCTCAATAACAACAGATCTTATTTACTTCCCCTCAAAATCACTCAGACTTGGGTTCAGGATGCTGATTTAGTCAGAAGAGGGCTGTCCCTTTGAGGAAATGACCTCTCAGTTGGGACCTGAATTAACAGAGACAGGCCGGTTCAAGAAGATCTGGGAGGCCTAGGTCACAGCACACGTGCAGAACCCCAAGGAGAAACAAGTAAGAAAGTGGGTGTCCCTGTCGAGGAATGGCCAGAGTGAACATGGTGCAGTGATGGTGGAGGTTCTGGACCAGGTCACCATGGCCTTTCTGGGCACGTCAAGGTGATGACAGAACATTGCTGGCCCAATGGGAAGTCACAGGAGCTTTGGAGTAATGGAGCAACATCATCTGATGTATGTTTTTATTTATTTATATACTTTTTGCATTGAACTTTCTAATTTTGTTAAATTGTGCATTTTAATTAGAAATTTGATTACTTTCTTTTTAAATTTTAATTAAATCTGTTTATAATAGTATCATTATAAGCTAATATTTATTATTATCTAAAATGCTATTTTATACTTTTATTTTTTTCCTTTATTAAATCATAACTGTGTACATTAATGCATTTATGTACAAATCAGTACAATGTGCTGTTTGATACACAATGTGGAATGCTTACATTTAACTGATTAACATAACCATCTCCTTGCTTACTATTTGTTGTAGTAAGACATTTACACTCTATTCTTAATAGTTTTTAAATGTACATTGCATTATGCATATTAAGTAAGGTCCCACCAAATACCCTCTTTCCTCACAGGCTCCAACCTCCCCTCCCCTCTCCTTCCTCTTCTCGCCTTCTTTCTGGACTATACTTATGTTTGGTCATTCATATGGATGTGTGGGTGATTATATAATGATTTCATAGTATTATTGAGTACATTGGATACTTTTTTTTCACAAAGAAACTAATCAATAAGAAAAGAACAAATAATCCCATTTCTATGTGGGCAAGAGACTTGAACAGAAACTTCTCTGAAGAAGACAGGTGCATGGTCTACAGACACATGAAAATTTGCTCATCATCCTTAATCATCAGAGAAACGCAAATCAAAACCACTTTGAGATATCATCTAACTCCAGTAAGATTAGCCCACATCACAAAAATCCCAAAACTATAGATGTCGGCATCAATGTGGAGAGAAGGGAACACTTCTATACTACTGGTGGGAATGGAAGCTAATACAGCCTTTTTAGAAAGAAGTTTGGAGAATACTCAAGGAACTAAAAGTAGACCTACTATTTGACCCTGAAATTCCTCTACTAGGTATATACCCAGATGATCAAAATTTATTTTACAACAATGACATGTGCACCAGAATGTTTATTGCAGCCCAATTCATAATTGCCAAGTCATGGAAGTAGCTCAAATGCCCATCGACCCATAAAAGGATTAACAAATTGTGGTATATGTATACCTTGGAATACCATGCAGCCATTAAAAAGATGAGATTTCACATCTTTTGTTTACCTGGAGGGAGCTGGAACGTACTCTTCTTAGTAAAGTATCTCAATAATTAATTTATGTTTTTAAAATATCCCCCTGGATGCTGTGTGAAGAATGGAGCTCAGGAAGATAAGAAGGAAAGATAGACCTGTTTGCCACCATCACAGTGTGGCAGACAAGGGATGTTGGGATTTCAGGTGCCTTGATGCAAACCCAAATGGAAATTGGCAGGTAAATTTGGCATCCACTTCAGAAGCAGAGCCAATAGACTTTGCTGTTGGACTGAAAGGGGCAGGAATAGGAAAGAAGGGAATGAAGGCCACCGTTCCTCTACAGCTAGATGACAAGATGATGCCCTCTGCTGAGATGAGGGATAACTGGAGGAAAAAAGAAAAGGATTTACAGACCTGCCATGAGATGTCAAGATGACAGACACATGTGACTTTGGGTCTCAGCTCATGGCTGAAGACATTAATACGGACATCAGCAGCATCTACATCAGTGGCTTTCAGCTTCAAAATAATACAAGACAAAAGAACAACTATGTGTCACCCACAGAGATACCTGTTTGGAACAAAACTTTCACGAAAGAATCTAACTCACTATTTTATTCTGAGAAAAAAATACAGGTCAAAACCAGCTAATAGGATCCTACCCATAGTTAGTAAACACACAGCAATGTAGAGCTGGAGTATTCAATACAGTTGTGACTAGTGGCATATGGCTATTTAAGGTGAAATTAATTAAAATAAGTTAAGACTGAAAATTCGTTTTGTTAATCACACTAGCCACATTTCAAGCATTCCATACCCGTAGTGGCTAATATGTTGGATGGAATGAATTGGGAAGTAGCCCTTCCTTTTCCTGGAAGAGTTTATGTAGAGTTCTTACAGCTTTCCACCTTGGATGTATGATAAGATTCCCTGGTGAAGCCATCTGGGCCTGGATTTTTCCTTGTTTGAATGGAGATTTTTGAAAGGTTGTATCTTTTAAGAAATTTGTCTATATGAGATAGGAAAAAACGAAACTGTTTCACCAACTCTCACAATCAACACAGCACATTTCTGGCCACTAAAGCGGGAAGTGGGGGGTGTGTCTATATACACCAAGCAGTCCTCCAGCAGACCCCAGCAGGGTCCTAGGATTCTATCCAAGCCTGACACTGTTTACTTGGAGTTAAAATTAGAACCCACGGGGCAAGGGCTGCCCCCCACTTCAGCTGCCAATTCCAGGTCTCAGGTTATCACCTGTGCTCCTGACTGATGGGCTATAAATTGAGATTCTCAAATTATTGCACCTTGGCTGGGTATAATAATTTGGTAGAACAACTCGCAGAACTCAAGGAAACACTTAACTTAAATTCACTGGTGTATTAGATTACTAAAGGATATGATAAAGGACACAGATGAACAGCCAGATGGAGAGATGTCCAGGACTGGTGTGGGTGAAGGGGTGCAGCGCTCCCATGCCCTCACCAGACACGCTGACCTCCCAGCACCTCCACACATTCAGCAACCCAGAAGTTCTCTGAGCCTCACAGTTCAGGGATTTTTATGGAGGTCAAATTGTCCAGCTTCATGTCTGTAGAATCTATAGCAGTGTCACCTCGCTCGTTCTTGATAATTTGTCATCTTCTCTCTGTATTCCCACTTATCGGTACGGCTAGAAGTGATCAATCGTGTGAAGTTATCGATTGTGTTGACCTTAACAAAGAGTCAGGTTTGTTTCACTGATGTTCTTTTTCTGCTTCGCCAATTTCTATCTTCATCTTTAGTATTTCCTTTCTTTACCTGAGTCTGGTTTAATTTATTCTTTTTTTCTCAACTCCTGCGGCAGATACTGAGGTCCCTGACTCCAGACCTTTCCTAATACAGACGTGAAGCGCTCTATACTCCCCTCTGAGCACTGCTTTCACGACGTCTCCCAATTCTGATATGATGGGTTTTCATTTCCATTTAGTTCAAAATAGCTTCTAATTTCTTTTTCAGACTATGGGTTATTTAGAAATATATCATTTAGTTTCCAAATATTTGGAGGTGTCCCAGCTATCTTTCTGTTACAGATTTCTAATTTAATTCCATTATAGCCAAAGAACACACATTATATGACATCAATCTTTTTAAATTTGAGATTTAATTTCTGGCCCAGAGTATGTCTATCCTGGCAAATGTTCTGTGTGCCTTATTTTATTTTATTTTGAGACAGAGTCTCACTTTGCCATGCTGGGTGGAGTGCTGTGGCATCATAGCTCACAGCAACCTCAAACTCTTTGGGCTTAAGCAATCCTCTTGCCTCAGCTTCCCAAGTACTACAGGTACCACGATGCCTGGCTAGTTTTTCTATTTTTTAGTAGAGACGAGGTCT